AGGGCTCAGTAAATCATCGATAAAATAAGGGGAAATAAGCGTGCGCGTGCGTTTTCACCTTTTGTAGAGGGAGTCAGGTTCAATTCATCAAGTGTACCAGGCAGTAGTTGCCATCAGGGAGTCGTAACTGGTTATGATTGTACTCTTGGTGCGACTTATAATCGGGGAAATACGGTAAATAACAGGGGCGTAGCAGCCGATCCGGCCGGTCCGGCTTGAGCCGGACCACTTTTTCGCCCAGAAGTGCCCAGAATGCAGGATTTTGAACCCTAATTTCAAAATTTTCCCGGGGGCGGGATACCCCAGACCACCTCCAACGGCGGTGCTACGCGCCTGAATAAGTAGAACATTGTACTCCGTGATATCGAGCTGAGCACAGTCCGATCGGAGATGGCTGTCCAGAGGCAGAGACACTCAGGGCGCTCACGCGGAGTAGAACAGCAGTGGTGTGTTACCTTCAGGGAGTTACGTCCCCCTCGGGGGTGAGGTATATTACCCCCTCGGGGGGTGAGGTATATTACCCCCTCGGGGGTGAGGTATATTACCCTCAGGAAGCTCCTGTGGGGAGGTAGGCTTGAGCCAGGGAGTCGGTTTATACGACTCCCTGGTTTGAGCGAGCATTCTTCCACATGTATGTCCAGTATGTTCGGGTGTGTGTTCAGGTGCTTTTAACCCTTTTCCGTGCTCAAGTCGAGGCCCTGCCTCCCTGGCGTCTGTCTGGCGTGGATGTGTGTGTGTGTGTGTGGGGGGGGGGGGGGAGGGGGAACACCAGTGCTATTAGGCTCGGGTTCTGCACGTCAAGAACACACCATTCGTCCCCATATTGCCTCGGATGAACCGCGGTGAGCACGGCAAGACAGCATGCAGATGTCCTTTATCGCAGAATCGTTCCTGTAGCTTGTGCACAACAGCGTGAGAAATCCAGACTCGAGTCCTTGTCATCGCGACTGCATGCTTGCCCTGTAATCTGCGCCAAGCTGCCTGGGCGGCTTAGTTTGGCTTAGTATGCAGTCAACAGTAATAATATAACTACACGTATGATACAGTAATAATATAACTACACGTATGATAAAGTAATAATATAACTACACGTATGATACAGTATATACAGAAGCCTTGCTTGGTAGTTTAACATGTTTTTCGATTTTGACAGCATGTTACAAGGCGAGGACGCGTAGTGCTCCTGACTACAACCATAACCCGGTTGGCAGAGTCCCGGTCTTGCGACCATTTGAACCGTATTGGGAAAACCCAGGTTCGGACCCTCGTTACTCTACGGGTTGGTAGGATTTTTATAATTTTCGTTTTTTGTGTTGTAGAAGTCGTCGTGTTGCCGCCGTAGTATTGTTCACGTTGCTGCCGCTGCAGGGATCACGTCTGGAAGGATTTGTGATGTTATTTTCTTGTCTTCCTCTGTAATTAAATTATTTGTAATTTATATTTCTTTTTTCTTTTGTTCTTTTGTTCTTTTTCTTTTTTCTTGTCTTTTTCCAACTTCTGCCCATGGCGTCCTTCTCTCAGCTCGTCAGCTGTAACAGTCATAGTCATCACCATGACGACTGTTGTGAGAAGGTGCTCGCTGCCGACGGGGTTGGTGATGTCCCGACGAGGCCATGGGTAGGCCTTCACCACGTCGGAACACCCCGTCTGCACGTTGGTGTTGTGGTCTGGGTGTTGATGGACGTTGATGTTGTTGTAATAGTTGTTGTCGTTGTAATTGTCGTTGTTGTTGTTGTTGTTGTTGTTGTTGTTGTTGTTGTTGTTGTTGTTGTTCTCCTTAGTGTTGTTCTCGTTGTTGCTGTTGGTCTTGGTAATACTAATAGTCTTGTTCACGGACCTCATGAATTCCACAAATAAAACAGAGTCATATTTCTTAAATCAGCTTCAGGGTTACTTTTCCTTCAATTATGAATGATTTGTGGAATGTTGCAATTGGTAACATGGAAACATAAGTTCAGTGCAGCGTCCAGGATGTTGTACCTCACCTGAACAACATCCTGGACGCTGCACTGAACTTATGTTTCCATGTTACCAATTGCAACATTCCACAAATCATTCATAATTGAAGGAAAAGTAACCCTGAAGCTGATTTAAGAAAATTTAATATGACTCTGTTTTATTTGTGGAATTCATGAGGTCCGTGAACAAGACTATTAGTATTACCAAGACCAACAGCAACAACGAGAACAACACTAAGGACAACAACAACAACAACAACAACAACAACAACAACAACAACAACAACAACAACAACAACAACAACAACAACAACAACAACAACAACAACAACAACAACAACAACAACAACAACAACAATCAACGACAATTACAACGACAACAACTATTACAACAACATCAACGTCCATCAACACCCAGACCACAACACCAACGTGCAGACGGGGTGTTCCGACGTGGTGAAGGCCTACCCATGGCCTCGTCGGGACATCACCAACCCCGTCGGCAGCGAGCACCTTCTCACAACAGTCGTCATGGTGATGACTATGACTGTTACAGCTGACGAGCTGAGAGAAGGACGCCATGGGCAGAAGTTGGAAAAAGACAAGAAAAAAGAAAAAGAACAAAAGAACAAAAGAAAAAAGAAATATAAATTACAAATAATTTAATTACAGAGGAAGACAAGAAAATAACATCACAAATCCTTCCAGACGTGATCCCTGCAGCGGCAGCAACGTGAACAATACTACGGCGGCAACACGACGACTTCTACAACACAAAAAACGAAAATTATAAAAATCCTACCAACCCGTAGAGTAACGAGGGTCCGAACCTGGGTTTTCCCAATACGGTTCAAATGGTCGCAAGACCGGGACTCTGCCAACCGGGTTATGGTTGTAGTCAGGAGCACTACGCGTCCTCGCCTTGTAACATGCTGTCAAAATCGAAAAACGTATGATACAGTAATAATATAACTACACGTATGATAAAGTAATAATATAACTGCACGTATGATAAAGTTTGAAGAAGGGCTGAGGCTTCCTGCAGCTTCATCTGTGAAAAGAATTCGGGTGGACACACCCATTCCCATAGCGCTGCATATCACATCCGAACCAGTTCCGTTATTTTACAACGTTTCGGCACTTGGCCATCGTCAGGTAATAACAATGAATACCGTGGAAGCCACACAAGAGCAGTATATACGCAGAGTGTAGCGCCAAAAAAGATGCGAATTATGTCACCTAGTATGACAGAGAGAGAGAAAAGGCGCAACTAGCACATCACGGAGGAGAAGCAGCAGAAGGTAGCGCGCATTGTGCTCTGTGAATGGCGTTACGCAGAGTGTAGCGCCAAAAAATAAAATGATGCGAGTTATGTCACCTCTATACAGGGGGGGGGGGGGGGGGGGGGGAGAAGGTGCAACTGTGCACATCACGGAGAAGAAGAGCGCGCCGTTGTGCTCTACGAAGTGAGGGTACATGCCAAATAATTATGGTGTTAATTCTAGCACAGGATCTAGGAGGGGAGCACGGAGCCCCATGAGTCAATGCACTATGAGGTTAAAACTTCAATGCCAAACTGTTACCACCAGGGACGCGATGAGGCATCAGGAATAGAATGGTTTTGAGTGACCCGCCTCATATTACAGTCGTCCCTCTCTAATCCGGCACTTTATAATCCAGCACCCTCGATAAACCAGCACAATTTTCAGTAGCCAAAATGTCCTCTTCATGCACATTGCAGCAGTAAATCAGATTTGTTAATCCAGCACCCTCCCTAATCCAGCAGATTTTCGTGGCACAAATGGTGCCGGATTATAGAGGGACCACTGTATAATTATTCAGTGATATTGAAGTAGCAGCAGGGGAAGCTGAGAAAATTCACAACAAATCCCATCCGGTGCTTATGTTCACATGGGGCTTGGCATCACGAATCTCAATCGCCTCGCGCAGTTTGCGACGGGCTCGATCAGGCTCTCTTCCATGGGGCTCCGTGCTCCCCTCCTAGATCCTGTGCTAGAATTAACACCATAATTATTTGGCATGTACCCTCACTTCGTAGAGCACAACGGCGCGCTCTTCTTCTCCGTGATGTGCACAGTTGCACCTTCTCCCCCCCCCCCCCCTGTATAGAGGTGACATAACTCGCATCATTTTATTTTTTGGCGCTACACTCTGCGTAACGCCATTCACAGAGCACAATGCGCGCTACCTTCTGCTGCTTCTCCTCCGTGATGTGCTAGTTGCGCCTTTTCTCTCTCTCTGTCATACTAGGTGACATAATTCGCATCTTTTTTGGCGCTACACTCTGCATATATACTGCTCTTGTGTGGCTTCCACGGTATTCATTGTTATTACCTGACGATGGCCAAGTGCCGAAACGTTGTAAAATAACGGAACTGGTTCGGATGTGATATGCAGCGCTATGGGAATGGGTGTGTCCACCCGAATTCTTTTCACGTATGATAAAGTAATAATATAACTACACATATATACACATACGTGGTCATCAACAGTCATCCATGCAGCCTTGCAGGTGCCAGAGTCCAACACAGATCAACGTTAGCCGAAACTCTCGAAGTCTCGATTGCTGTTATTTCTTCCCGCGGGTTTGTTGAGTGGATTGTGAGTGCAGACCTCACTATGGATTACACCAGTCCTGTTCGTTTACATTACACAGGCATATTCCGCTCATTCCGCTCATCGGAGAACTTCAAAATCTGGGTCCAGAACGTGCAATCGAATGCGCCCAGAACACATGGGATCACTGGCAACGGATAGGATCACCTGCACGTACCGTTGTGCACTCCACAGTCCAACACAGAACGAAAATACTGGCGTGCGCCTTGTTGCAAAACAACCACATTTTACCAGCAAAGTCACGGCCAGTTCAGGATTAGTCACACATGCACCCCCCACACTCGCAAACCTATACACACTCTCTCGCGCACCTACCAACTACACACGTACACACCACCGCACGCACATGCACGCGCGCACTCACACACACACACACACACACACACACACGATGCACGCACGAGACTCGTCTAGATTCGTATTAAACAGTGTTTTGTTGCTATAAAACTGCATAACGTTAAGGCTGTCACAATACGCACTGCTGCGCGAGTGCCTAAGCAGCACACAGAGTGACGGAGAAGGTTGGCAGAGGACACGGGAAGAACACATCTGGTTATAAGTTAGAACTAGTAGAAACATAATAGGTCTTAGTCGTCACACCGCCTGGCACTAGAAAACAATCAATGGAAGTAAAGGAAAAACGGCGGTGTGGATCTACTGCTAATCGTGACCAAGACTATCAAAGGAGTTAAAAAAAATGCCCGCAAAGCAAGAGTTGAAGATGTCATGCAAAAGATCAAGTGCGGAAACGAAAATTTAATGGTTAAAAGTTAAAAAGCGAGAACACTATGTCAATCTCGAAAAGCAAGAAGATGAGAAAAAAAAGAAAAAAAAAGAAACCGATTAGGCCAGGAACAGTCAGTGAAAATGTCTAGGCATAAATAAAGACTCAAGACGAAAAGAAGCGAGAAAAAAAGTGAGCATTATCTGCAACCCTGAAAGGGAAAAAAAGGGGAGAAAAGCAGAGAATTAAAAAATGTTACTAAGACATGAGGAAACGCTGTGCCGACATGAGTTGTTTTAGAGAAACTTTGCGCCGGTACGAGAGAAACTTTGACAGGTCAATGACAGCATGAAGGGTAAGTAAACATGACAGATGACAGATGATAGAGAAGTAGCTGTCATCAGTAAATACAGCATGAGCAGAGAGGACAAGTGCCCAATCCAGTGTGAGGATGACAGCACTGCACGAAGACCAGTTATTGGCCAGACATTTCTGGTTCATATACAGCTCAAGAACAGCGCATAGAGACGGAGAGAGTGTGCGCAAACACGCAGAGAGTGCAGATTGCAGATTGGAATATGATGGGGACTAGTGTTGCTCGTGTGAGCAGAGCATGTGCAACAAATCCGTGTCTTGCAAGGCAACACAGTACCCATGCACAAGAGCGGGAGAGAGTGCAGGTCAACAACTGATTCATATTGATAGGTGCATGTGTACGTGTGTGTGTGTGTGCGTGTGTGTACGTGTGTGTGCGTGTGCGTGTGTGTGTGTGCGCGCGTGTGTGTGCGTGTGTGTGTGTATGTGCTGTGCTAGATAGGTTAGGGCGGAGTGTGTGTGCTGGGGGGGGGAGATAAGAGCGGAGGAGGGGGGAGGGGCAGGAGGGGGGGGGGGGGGAGAGAGAGTTAGGTCAGAATCAGATGTGAGAGGGTTATGAAAAAAAACGTTTTTTCTGGTTATTAAGCAGGCCAAGTGTATAGTGAAAGTCCGAGCCAGTCCAGTACCAATGGCGATTTGTCCAAAGTACTAGTACATAATGTTATAGCCACACACATACATACGTACATGTACACACACACACACACACACACACACACACACACACACACACACACGCGTGCGTGCACGCTCACACATACGAGAGCACTCACCTCGCTACAAACAAGCAGGCTCTCGCACATACACACACACCGCCCTAGCGATGGCTCACACGAAGACAGGCGGTGTGATGCTCACGTTACTCCAATCCAAAGCTGGACGTCTCTTCAATAGCCAGTGTTAGCTTCTCGATAAGTTGTTTGTAAGTTTCATACGCAGGCAAGTCCAGACGGTTGAAACATGTATGAGACCTGATGAAAGACAGACAGTCAATGCATAACACACACAGTGTCAATGCATACAACAGTGTGTCAATACATATCGGCATGCACATGTGCACACACACACACGTACACACACGTACACACACGTACACACACACGTACACACACACGTACACACACACACGTACACACACACACCATGTACATACACACACACGGAAATACCCGTGACCAACTGAGAAAATATCACCCTGTGTAAACACGGTGTAGACCAGCTGCAGGCTTGCAGAACACGAAAGTAACAATCACAAGGTGTTGCCTTTCACACATACTTGTACTTGTACTTGTTGCTCACTGCCAAAACTGGTCACGTGGGTCTCCCCGGGAGAGGGGAGAGAGACTCAAAAGGAATCTTGGAAAGATGACTCAATTGGCTATTGAACCGCCCAACGGCCGACACCCCCTGAAATCCCCAAAACTCTGGGTGGACTTGAAAATGATCCCACTTATGGGCTCACCACACCTCAGTAAGTGGGTGAGGACAAGGTGCAGAAAAAGGATTGGCGGCATCAGGGTATCCGTCCCGGGATCCAACTGCAGTTACCCCTGCCCCCAGTGAAGGTAATACTTGCTACTAGTGTGGGTGGCCAAATCAGAGTGGATCTGATACAAGCTTCACTAGCACCATGATTACACAAGAGCCTTTCACACATACTTCCTCCGCGTCATCGAAATTGTCGCAGTTTGACTAGTGACTTGTCACTTGTTACTGACAACTCCATAAGCTAAACCATTCAAAACTTATTACACAGTATGATAGTCTGAAGGCTAGAGTAACGTTCCAGAACAGTTGGAATGAGAAATTTCACGCAGAGATGAAGGCCTCGTCGTCGTTGATGTCAATGGACGCAAAATATCGTTCCAAAATAATTCAAGGAAGGTTGCAAGTTGGTCGCGCCTCATCTCAAACGCTTCGACTTTCTCAACAGGACAAGACCTGCTATGCTTGTCGTCTGCTAGCTCTGGATGATTTCTACTTCACCACCAACGAAGTAAGAATGCACGATCGTTGCGAGGTTGATTACCATCGGCGGAATCACCTCGATCTTGAAATGAACTTTTTTTAGCCGTGGCATGCCCATTTATTTTAGCTGTGTGGTCACAGCTCATGCAGGTAAGTGTACTGTCACGTCCAGCGCGCCCTCTTTTTCTGCATCACTGGTACGGCATCTGCGCGTGCATCACTAGCACAACGTGTAGAGTCTACACGGCTCTTGCAGGTACAATCATGTACTGAGTGTCTCAGCCAGAGCGACAAATTTTATCGCTGTTGCATACATTTAGTTTGCTGACCCCTCGATGTTTCTCCAAGCGCTGCTACTTGTTCCACGAAGTCATTCTCACCCCAGCTAAGGTAAAACAGTGATGAGGCTTGAGTGAATGGCCATAAGCACGAGAAATGTGCGGGCTGCAACGCCTGACTGATCTCAACGAGTCGAAATTACCATCGCAGCGACATCAGCGAAGAAATCGCATCTAGTTCAAAGATGTCAGCTTCCAATAACAGAAAATAGAACTTTGCCGTCACCCTCTACTGATGACTATCGCCTATGTCCAATTCCTTGCCTCTGGTACGAGTGCTGGTGAGTAAATTCCCCGTTTTATGTCAAAAGTCAAACTGCGACAATTTCGATGACGCGGAGGAAGTACATGGAAGACAAGGTCCACATTTACCAGGATTGGCGACGGCAGCAAACTGGTGGCAGTATACACGCTTGAAACGTGTTTCTTGTCATGTGATCTTGCAGGCCATTCACACGACGTCAAGAGTACATAACCCTCCAGAGTGCGCAACGCCTGATCCAGCTCTCCATAGGGTCTTGGTCGAGCGTAATCGGATCTTTGCGTCATAATACCGTACACATCTGAGGGGAACCCGGGAAGTGGTGGGGACTCTCGGATCAAAAACAACGATGCCCTGTCTCGAGACTGGCCTTGCGCTGGTGTGAAGTGTACGCATGACATCAGAAGATCCGACTACGCTCAACCAAGACCCTATGCAGAGCTGGATCTGGCGTTACACACTCTGGGGAATTCTGAACTCTTGACGACGTGCAAACTCACTTTTATCGTACTGTTTCCAAGGATTTCTACTCGTACACGAAAACTTGGACACGTGCAACTGATTTTTGAACATGACCGGTGGCCTTGTGCACACGATCAGACTTAGCAAGTGAGCAAAAGTGTCGGTTGTTGAAAGTGCGCGCTGCAAATGTAGTGAGTGAACTATTATTTCAAAAGGGAAGATTCAAATATCCCGGCATTTTCAGGAGGTCACTATGGGTGCATTGAAGCGTGCAAAGTTTGCCCAGCACCGTGTGAACTGGATCATGGTTTGCAAGTGACTTCGCCGTCACACACGTCCATGTGTTTGCACGTAGTGTGAATGGTCTATAAAAGGGCATAATAAACACAAGTACAACGATAAGGTGTGTGTATTGTCATGTGACTTGAGTTATAAGATGTCGACTCATAGCTGCTTACCTTGGGAGGCTAGTGATGGCGCCCCAGCATTCTATGGTGAACTTGCGGGGACCACTGCTACCGCGCAGGGCTCCAAAGCCCTCAAACGGAATACTGGACGTGCCCGTCACAAACTACAACATGTAGAACACACACACACACACACACACATATACACACACACACATATACACACATATACACACATACACACACATATACACACATACACACATACAAACACACACCCACACATGCACTCATTCACACACACACACACACACACACACACACACACACACACACACACACACACACACACACACACACACACACACACGCACACACACGTACACAAACACACACACACGCACAAGAAACCTCATGAATAACGACAACTCACACACATTCTCAACCCCACCCTTCCCCATGCCCATTTGACAGTCATTCTTCACAAGGTAAACGGAGACTCCCTCGATTTAGGCTAAGGCCTGTGGAGAATCCATAAATACAAATACAATACAATTGCCTCTGACAAGGACACTGGCAGCTACCGATACACATTTACTAGTAAGCAGGACCAACTTGTTGGCCGCCAACGTGTGTTTACTGCTGAGAGAAGGTAATGCGTATACCCTCCATATCATACACAAACTGTATGAAAGTCATGTGTACACCCCGCTCCATATCATACACAAACTGTATGAAAGTCATGTGTACAGCCTCCATATCATACACAAACTGTGTGAAAGTCATGTGACTACCCTCCATATCATACACAAACTGTATGAAAGTCATGTGTACAGCCTCCATATCATACACAAACTGTATGAAAGTCATGTGTACAGCCTCCATATCATACACAAACTGTATGAAAGTCATGTGTACAGCCTCCATATCATACACAAACTGTATGAAAGTCATGTGACTACCCTCCATATCATACACAAACTGTATGAAAGTCATGTGACTACCCTCCATATCATACACAAACTGTATGAAAGGTTAGGGTATGGAAACTGCTTCTGCAGGTCCTGTCATAGGTAAGCAGGACGCTGACAACCCCAAGCAGGACACTGACAACCCCATGCAGACACCGACAGGGGAGCAGTACCAAACAAACAGTACACAATTCTCCAAGGACATCTATGCTGCTGTGGGCAATACCTGTAGAAGACGCAGACGACTCTCGTTGTTCATCTTGCGGATGGCCACCCAGAACTTCTTGATCACTGGGTGCTCTTGATGATAACCTGTGGGTAGCAAGCAAAACAACACAGTACTCAGTACACAGTACACAGTACTCAGTGCTCAGTACTCAGTACACAGTACTCAGTACACAGTACTCAGTACACAGTACACAGTACACAGTACTCAGTACCATTTATACTGTTAAGCACTGGTACACCAAGAATCTACGCAAACACACAATTAAGCTATGAATAAAACAAAAGGATGGACGGCCTTAACACACAGGGGAAAAATGAAATGAGTGTTGTGCGCTGTGACTTGGCGGTTCACATCAAAGGGTGATCGTCAGACATCAAACAACAATACGCCTGCCTCGGTAACCTGTACTGTGCAGTACGGGTATTTGACGCAAAACAATGGTCACTTAATTCAAGTTTATACACAGTAAACCCACCGGGCTTCGGACACAGAAATCTAGATTCTACCTCAAACTGTGCTCTACAGCAGTTGTCTTGCCAAGTGTCTATTGGGGATAGCAATCCCCCCCCCCCCCACACACATACAGTAAAACCTGTGACTAAAGACCACCCCCTGGGGGCCAGAGAAAGCGGTCTTTAGTGGCAGGTGGTCCTTAGATAGAGGTTTGCACCGCACAACCATATATGGGCCAGTGCATGCAATACCGTGTCTAAGGGCAAATTTTTGGAAATTTTTTTCTTTCTTGAAAATCAATCACAGGGGTCTAGAGAACACCTCTGTGGAAGATAAAGTTGAATATCACATTTGAAAGTACATAGAGACCATGATTTCTATGGCATTGTCCAACATAGAATATGCCTTGTATAATGTATCATCTACAGTGTCGCTGAAAGCAGCAACAGTTTTGCGTATCAGCCTCTAGCATTGGCCAAGACATTCAATGAAGGCTGCCTTGTTCTCCGGTCAAAACCGGGCAACATAGTCCAGCAAGTTCTTGCGGCGTTGAGCTAACAAGAACTCGCGTTATTTTTGTGCAAAGACAACAATGGTCACGGAGTGGTTCTGTTGCAGAATTCTTTTCATCCTATGCACGAGGAGAACGGATATCGTCCTGGAGCAGCTCACACTTGTTGCACACATCCATCCGTCGCGTCATGAACTCGATGGACTTGAACTTCTTAGTCCACAGATACAAAAAATATACGGTAACCCAGGGTTTGCGCTTCACCAGACTGCATGTTCCGAAAGGACAAACTTGTAGGCGACAGATGTAGGTAGGTTTATGGGAGATTCCTCACCTCTCCCTCTTGGTGCAGCAGACAGAGGGAGACTGAACACTAAGCTGTAGTTCAGAATAAACTGCTGCGCTCTGTCTCCCACTTCTGCACTAAATTATTCCAAGGCACATTGCCAGATTTCCATGTGCACCAGGGTGACAGCTATTGTTCTTCTTGTCCACTTGTACACACGCATGTTCTGCCAACCACATGGACCTGCATAAGCGCGGTTCCACACACGATGTATCCCATAACAGTTTATCCAAACGTGATGCACGTCCGTTCCGTTGCGGAAGCTGTCGACTGATGCACGACAGTCGACAGGATCGTCATGCGTGCAGCGCAGCCAGCACACCAATATAAAAAATGACGAGGTCCTTCGATTTCATCGCCGAGATTTAGTCGTCGTAGTGGAGGATTGCGCTCGACGTGAAGCTTCTGAAATGGTAGTTCCGAATGCAGCCAAAGCCTTCAAGAATCAGCGAGTCCACAGCGGCAATGCTCTGAGGCGCTTCCTGCTCATCGTCGCTTGCAGAGTCGACAGAATCTCCACCTAATTCATCCGCTCTCGACTCGCCTTCAACCTCAACGCAGGAGTCTTTCACTCCCGGACGCGTAGTTGGGGCTTCGTCAGAGTCAGTGTGAGCAGTACAGCTGCTAGTTGCCGACTGCTCCGACTCACGACTCGCCAAATAAATTGTCGTCTTCCTCCTCGATAGTAAACCTTGTCGATCTCTTAGGACGCGCCGACGATAGTCACGCGAGCGGTGCAGCTCAACCGACGTGCTGCTCGGCGTTTGCCACGAGTGTGTCTACTGAGAGGCCCTTCCTCAAGTACTACTTCCAACTCCTCCTGCGCCGCCACGTCCATGATGATTGCTGCAAGTCGATCGCTTGTCGCTTCTCTTGTCGTCTTGAGATCGATTAGGAATGTAGACAAGATCCGCGATCGAGCCACAAAAAAATATAACTCTTCTTTCCGAGCGATTTTCTCAAAATTCTGAAAGAAATCGGTTTCCCCCGAAGACACGTTTTCGCATGCACTGGCCCATATGAATGCGAGACCGTCCGTCCGTGCCTGGCGAAGTGGTCTGTAGTACCAGGCTGGTCGCTAGTGACGGTGGTCTTTAGCTACAGGTTTGACTGTACATGCGCACAATGTCATAGAGACATGCATGCTATGTGACTGACCAGATCTGTAAAGTGTGTTCTTCTGCCAGTCGTCCACATCCACCTCAACAGTACCAGCGATGGCTAACTCCAGCTCACGAGCATCAAACACTGACAGCAGATCGGCCTCTATCACCTGAGCACACACACACACATGCACGAAAACACATACACACGTACGCGCGCACCCCGCATGTACACACTCGCACACACGCATACAGACACACAGACACACAGACACACAAACAGAAATACCCATCATTTACATTAGCATCAGTACAGTGAGTATCATTCCGCGCCCACGCACGTAATGTTCAGCTGGATGGACTCACATGTCAACTTTCCTCAAATAGCAATACTCGGACTGTAGCGTCCGTTGTGACAATCCGCTTCTGTGCATTTCTACCCACTGGTAGATGCACACCTCACAAATGGATCAGAGTAGGGGGGAGGGGGGTCTCTTACAGCCCTTTCATAAAAAGATGATATCCTAGCTTTTGGCCATAAATGGGTCAAATTTTGAGATTTTTCACAATTGCTTTCTGCAATCCCCCATGGAATGCTCTTCCAATTATGTTTCTGAAGTCTATTTCTCCAAAATGCAAGCCATAACAAGAATAGGATTATGGCCAGGTTTCGCCCCAGGGAAAAGGCATGTGTGTGCGTGCGCGCGTGTGTTGCTGAGTGCGTGTTGCTGCGTGCGTGTGGGCGTGAGACAGAGAGAGAAACAGAGAGAGAGAGAGAGAGAGAGAGACAGAGAGAGACAGAGAGAGAGAGACAGAGAGAGAGAGACAGAGAGAGAAAGAGAGAGAGAGAGAGACAAGAAGAGCCATAGCAATATGCTCACCTCAGTAAAGCCTTTGAGTAGCACTTTGCGTTGTTCAGACACGCCTCTGTCCAATCTCCAGCGCACCAGCAGATCAATGTATTCACTCTTGTTAGCATCAGTAACTGCAATGTCCCCACCACCCGGTTTCAACTCATTCTGACTAGACTGAAAGACAGAAATAGTCAGCAAAAAAATCACGGTTTGCTTGAGATGAGTTAGACTGAGTTTTCAGCATCCATAGGAACTCCACCACCCTGCAAGATCTAAGGCACAGATGCAGCTCCTAAAGCAGTGGGAGATGAGTAGATCAGCCCACCAGCAACATGGTCAAAGACCGAAAATCCCATTCACTGCATCCAAAGTCAGCAAGTCACAGTGAAAACACAGTGGAAATCAGACGCTAACTTCAATCAGACAAAAATGGACTTTGGGAGCTGCGAAAGTCCCAGTTTGGGGAACAAATTTGGTTTTCTTGAACAGGAAGAATTACATTCCAAACAGGTTTACCAAAAGCAGGCTTGGACATGTACAGAGTGTTGTGTGCCTGCACGTCCTTGCGCAAAGCATGTAGCAAGTGGGTATTCTCACCTGGCCAAACACTTCCTCCTCCACGGTAAAGTAGAGGTCTAGACCAGCGTCGTCAATGTTGTTTTCCGATATCCAGGACAGACTGCGATGGTACTCTTCATCCACCGACTCAATGTCAGACAAGTCCATTACACTAGCAGAATAGGACAACATAGTTGAACACACCCACACACACACACACACACCCACACACACCCACCCACACACCCACACCCACACCCACACCCACACACAACAATGATGTCTGAGGAACATTACACACGCGCGCACAACAGCAGTGACGAGGACAAGAACAGCAGCAACAACAGGACGGGTAGCAACAGCAGCAGGACAGGGCAGCAGCAGCAGCAGCAGGACGGAGTAGCAGCAACAGGACGGGGTAGCAACAGCAGGACAGGGTAGCAACAGCAGCAGGACGGGTAGCAGCAGCAGGACGGTGTTCTTGGAACTGATAGAAATGTCTTTGTACATGTAATAGGGTTATCTGGTACATGTTTTTATTAAACACCCTTAGCAAAAAACGTTATGTTGTAACGGTATTATCGTAAGGGGGAAAATACCGTGATTTGGGTTCAACCTTTAGCAAGATGCACGCTATTTTTAATACGCTGTAGCCACGAGAATTGCTTTGATTTCGCGCGGTACAACCATTTTTGTCACCATATACGCGATACAAGGTGAAATGCGTACGGACTATGCAATATTTGGCCAAAACACGTACCGTTGGTCACAACGATAAATCAGCCCCCATAACGTTTATACGCTGCAGCTTCAACGCTATTTGGGTGATCAAGGTGCGAGTACCGTAAAAAATAGCGTTACCGTTGTTTGCTAAGGGTGTCTATTGTATTGCAAAAACGCATCTATCAGTTTAAGAGAGAATAACATGCATGATGACCTAGGTAAAAACAAAGCATAGTGAGGGCCCTGAGCATTCAAGCTCTCTTGTTGGTCAGTTAACTCCACTATGGGTTACTGCCCTGTATACGACAGCAAGAGTACATACCCCCCCCCCCCCTCCAAGAGTTAACTCAACTACCGTAGAATCCCGCGGATAAGCCCATGCTCGCGCATAAGCCCAGGGAAAGTTCGAACATCACAAGGCTTCGTCGTACAAACCCATGGGCCTAAGTCGTATCAAGAGTCCATAAATTATGGACTCTTGGTCGTACCATGTACATGTAGTTTTGTTTGTACATTTCAACACAATCATCGGTTGTTTTTGTCTGCACAGTGGCTTTCAGCAATGCACTTCTCACTTCCTTGGTACTTTTCAATAGCACAATTTTGGTGGTGTCAGCGTATAGGCCAATGCCCGCGTATAAGCCCATGTTCTCGTATAAGCCCACCGAAATGCCCTTGTGAAACAGATAAGCCCATGGGTAGGGATTTCAGTCACGTGATCTGCGGGGGCAAAAGTACCTTGACACGCATGCATGCATTTTGAATGCCAGGCATGGCACAGCTCAGAGCGGGGTCTTCGGCGTAGATTTTAGGTAGGGAGAGTGAGTTTATCGCCATTTTTATTGGCGCACCGTTGAAGAGTAGGTTTCAAGCTTTCGTTTGGTGCCTCACACGGCGAATTCGTGCCGATATTACGCATCTCGATAGATTCTTGTAGATTTCAAAGTCGCTTTTGAGGTGTTTGCCTTGGTTCCACACTCAAGCATCAGTCAGAATCAGATTCTACGGCATCGATTTAGTCAAGGTAGGTTCCTTCAGACGGCATGAAGGGTCGCGATCGGTAGCGGAAATTGTTTTGAAGTTGAACGCCATTACACAGTATGGAGGTGGAGAAGAAAGACGATTGGCTTCCGCCTTCCTCTGTGTTCATGGTGTTGTCCCGGGCAGTAGTTGAACTCTCGTTGAGGGCGAGAAGCAAAAATTATACCAAGTAAGTTAGCATAATTTGATTTTGCTAGTTGCAGCCGTGGATGGAAAGGATTTCGAGACGATGTGAAAATTGCCAGGAACAAAATCGGGCGTATCAGACAGTGGAGAAAATTTTTGCTGAAGAACAAGGCAAGTGACGACCTCAGTGAATTACTAAGTCATCCTTTTGAACTGCCTCTCAATCAAATTGTAAAGCAGATAACCACACACTGAACGAAAAATCGTATCTTGTGTCTGATTCTTGTCCAAGAAAGAAACATTGAACTGCAAGGACAATTGTGGGCTGCAGGGATTGCAAATTGCATGGATTGTATAAGTTTGGAAAATTATATCAGTGTTATCAAATTTCCACACCTGAGCAGTCGTACGTGCTGAGGTGTGGACATTTGCAACAGTTCATGTCCACGCTGGACCAGCCGTTGATGTCAGTGCTGAAGCAACAGTTGATGTTGATGCCGGCGCAGCAAATGATGGCGCTTTGGAGCCCGCACCCGACATAGCAGGTCTTGACCCTGTGTGTGGCACCAGACTTGATCTTCCATGTGTCATACAAGTGCGTGGTTGTTCCAGGCTGGTATTTTACTGAACTTATCTCTTATATTATAAATACTCACCGCTGGCTGGCTTCTGTGTACAATACTCAATAGCCTCTAGTATGATCGTTGTGCGGCTAATGACATTTTTATGTGCGTCTCTGACTCGTTGCAGCCGAAAACGGGCCCTGTGTGACATCAGAGCTTGCTGTCTACTCGTCTAGTTTCCCACGTGCATACTATATAACTTAAATGTTGTGTTTGCCGTATTTCTGTCATATTCCACCTATTACCATGTTGAATTATGCGTGAAATATACTGTTGCTAGGGCCGTTGCTAAGGACGCCATTGCTGCGGTCATTTGGAATTTTGAAAAAAAAACTTTTATCTTCCGTTCCGTCACAACCAGGGCCATCCTTGATCCAAGTTTGGCCACGATCGGATGAAGTTTATTTGTTGCTATGGTGTTGCTAGGGAGTATGGGAATTCCATTTTGTGCCATCCTGCAGATCCAATTTGTATGTGTGTTCATCAAGGTTGGTGCGCTATGTTTGAATGCTCATAACTTTGGAAATACTGCTTGGATTCCGTTCAAATTTTCTGTGGACAGTCCTTACACATAGATGCTTCAGGAAAACTTGTTAGTTGGAGCAAAGCGCTGCTCAGAAAAAAACGCCTGAAATCCCTACCATGGGCTTATCCGCGGGATTCTACGGTATGGGCTACTGCCCTGGCAGAATTTCAAGTTGACGTCATTTTTATGATGCAATGCGCATTGTACACGGATTATCAGAAGTAACCTGGACCTGTGGTGGACAAATCCCGATTTTATCCTGTACAGAGTAGATCAAGGAACGCGCATGATGCGTTCACACTCCGTACAAACAGCGTAAATCGATCGTGCGAGGAGCATTGTAAAAATGACGTCGACTTGAAATTCTGTCGGGACAGCAGGGAATGCGGGAGTTTCACACTCTGTGGGGGGTATGTACTCTCGACGATAGATGCTCAGATGCAAAAGGCACAGCTTACCATCCGAGTAAGAACTTGTAGAACGGCCGAGTGAAGAATGCATCGAGCAGTCGCTGGTGAATCAGAGCCAGCGCAATCACACGACCACAGAATCGAAACCTAGCAGTAGTTGTGCCGTCAGGGAGAGAACAGATGGACAAACGGACGGACAAACGAACAGACAAAGGGATGGACAAACCGATGGACAGACGGATAGACAGACAGACAGACAAACCGTCACACATGTACATACAATAAATGCAAGCACACAGAGAGACAGACAGACAGACAGACAAACAGACATGCAGACACACACAGAGAGAGACACACACAGAGAGAGAGACAGACAGAGAGAGACAGACAGAGAGAGACAGACAGAGAGACAGACAGACAAACAAACAGACACGCAGACACACAGAGAGAGACACAGAGAGAGACAGACAGAGAGACAGACAGACAAACAAACAGACAAACACAGGTTAGACACAGATGACACTGGGTAGAGACAGGCAGATACCAGAAAATAATATGGGCTGTGGCCACAATTTCACAGCTAGTGGAAATTTGGGAGTCTAAAGGAGAGGCAAAAGGAAAGGACTTACTGTAGCAAGAAGGAGCCACACACACACACACACACACACCCACCCACCCACCCACCCACCCACCCACACACACACACACACACTTGCTTACCAATCCAGAGCACCATCCACCATGGCTGACATTGGACTAATCTGCAGCGTGTACGTATCGTTGGCAGAGTACTCAAACAAACCATAGTACGGATTGAACACTTCCCTCGACAAGAGGAAGAAGAACTCACGACTTGGCCCGCCATAGTCCAGTCTAAGCAACACACACACACACACAGGACATACATGACATACAGATCAGTGGAAAGTTGCAAGGGAGAGCAGTACGCAGTACATGACAAACAGATCAGTGGAAGGGTGCAAGGGAGAGCAGTACGCAGTACATGACAAACAGATCAGTGGAAGGGTGCAAGGGAGAGCAGTACGCAGTACATGACATACAGATCAGTGGAAGGGTGCAAGGGAGAGCATCAGTATCAGTAGTGGCAGTACCATGACTTACCCTTCTTCTCCCTTAAACATGATTTCCAGCTTGGCCTTGGATAACGCCTTGGCGGGCTCCCTCATCAGTATCTGATAAGCCTCCTGCAATATGTTTTCACGCGTTACATTGATCCTATTTCAACCCAAACAGATGCACACACACGCATGCATGCATGCACACACGCACACACACACACATACACCACACACACACACACATACACCACACACACACACGCGCGCGCGCGCGCGCGCACATGTACGCACACAGGAGTGAAAGATGCACAGTTGTATATTTCGAAATTCGGGTGATCTTTTTGTTGGTTAGGTAAACTATTCCAGGAGTAGAGAAGAGTCAAATGCACAATTGTGTAGTTTGTGTACATTGGAATGCCGTGCTTTGTGAAATTCTAGCCTGGCCGTTCATCGGCGCTCCGTTCTCCGGCACCCGACAGTGCTGTATCAAGTTCGGCACCACCACCCCCAATCTCTCCACAGTAGGCAGGCATTAAGTGCTGCAGGGCTAACCCTGAAATTACAGTGTTCTTCTAGCCAGCAGGTAACACCCCTGCACAGTAAAGTGCTCGCAACTGAAATCCAACCCCTGGAGCAGCGCACTCACATTGCAAATACCCAGCGGCAAGGGATTGTAACACTACTGAACAGAATGATGTCATCAAACACTGGTACAGGGTGCCAGTTTTATAGTTAAATTATACTTTGGGTCGGATTTCACCGAGTGCAACTGTACTGGTAGAGAACAGGCTACTTACTTGAGAACACGTGGACCCTTTCCACAGCCACGGGTAGCCAGTTGTTTATTGAACTGCACCAGTCGACCACCAAAGTCTTGCCGATGACTGATAGATGCTGCTGTCCTGCCTTGAGACACGATACGCTGTTGTACTGTAGACGGACACACACACACACACACACACACGCACACACGCGCAAACACACACACACACACACACACACATGCCTGGCACACGCGTGGCACACACGAGGAAACAGAATGAAGTACAGCATGTGCGTCTGTGTTTGTGTAGTGTGTGTATGTGTGTGTGCGCGCATCGGTCTGTGAGTGAGAAATAGCAGAATAGTCAATTTAACCCTTTGAGGCCTATATTAGGGATACATGTATATCCGTACCAGTGCACATGTACAGGGTATACTTTTTCAAAGCCCAAACTCGCCGAACTCGCCAAACTCGCCAAACTGGCCGAACTGGCCAAACTGGCAAAACTCGCCGAACTCGACTGACCTTTGGCCAAATCGGACGATCGAAAGGTCACTCGGCATAACCATTTTCTCAGCTCGAAACAAAAGAAGGCGATCTGAGGTCGGAGAGTGGAGGTACGACGCTCGAACAAAATTCTCTCCCCGAAGTCAACTCAGGCGCATGCATTTTGAACTCATTTCTCGCTGTTTCCCCCTGGCTTGTGGCCCATGCAGCCACGGATAGTTCATGCCATCACAAAGGCATGTTTTCAGCTCCTGTGTTGAAAAAATTGAGCGCTCTGCGATACAATTTGTTTCTTTTCCCGCAGGCAGTCCCCCCCCCCCCCTCTCTCTCTCCCTCCCTCCCTCTCCCTCTCTCTCTCCTGGTGTGAATGTAGTCTGACACTTGGTAATTAGCAATGGTAGGCTTGTGCGCAAGAGCAAACGCACTGACACCTTCGACTACACTAGCTTCTAGATGTTTGCGTGACGTATGCATTATTTGCATTATTTGCCGTGAAAGGTGAGAGAGAGAGTGTATTCTCAGATGATGTTGTAGAAGAAGAGCACTGCCATGTTTATCCAGAATCAGTCACTGAAGAACGTGCACGTGTCCAGCATGTGAATCGTAAATGACCTCTCTGCGGCGTCTGCTGTCACCGAACCGCATGCACATAGAAAGTTTATCCAGCGAAAACTGACGTTTGATGTCCTTGGCCCACTGTGGAGTACATCGGTGTTCAAGAAACATCAGTGTTCCGTGATCATTGTGCTCATCACCGCACACAACACAGTGATGAACAGCATTGGTACTGCCGTACAAGACAGGTGGTGCCAGCAGCAGTGAACGCTGGAGGTCAAGAGTGCACCGATACAACCTTGAAGTCATCACCAGAGTGAGAACGTCGTCACAACGACGTCAGTGTTGCTGCCGCTACACGTATGACTACATAGTATATCATCACCAGAATCCCCAGCAACTGCAGAGATCTCTCTCGACAACATAAGGTAGCCACTGATCAGATACAGCCATGATGACGTCATCACCAGAATCACCAGCAACTGCAGAGATCTCTAGCACACCAGTGTCGCCAGGACTACATGTGCTGAGTAAGGAAGTGTAGTCGAGATAGGATTCCTTTCCATATTTCTCTCCTGTGATCACCTCATAATAATAGAGTACCATAATAATAAATATACAAGTACAAACTAGATACTCTGTGGTTTGAGAATGAAGAGGGAATTCTATCTCGACTATAGAAGGTAGGCACGGAACAAAGCATTTCCATGACTACGTACTGGATATCGAAGGTAGCCACTGATCACAGTGTGTTTACATGACACGTACAGTCATGCTGAGTAAGGACTGGATATCGAAGGTAGCCACTGATCACAGTGTGGTCACATGACAAGTACAGTCATGCTGAGTAAGGACTGGATATCGAAGGTGTAGGCACTGATCACAGTGTGGTCACATGACAAGTACAGTCATGCTGAGTAAGGACTGGATATGGAAGGTGTAGGCACTGATCACAGTGTGGTCACATGACAAGTACAGTCATGCTGAGTAAGGACTGGATATGGAAGGTGTAGGCACTGATCACAGTGTGTTTACAGGACTAGTAGATGCTGAGAGTAAGATGCACAACAACAGCCTGTCGTCCATCCCATCCGCCCTCTAATGCTGCCGGAGGACGCTCCGAACATCACCCGCCGCAAGGAAACGCATTCACAAACTAAATCTTGTCCACCAGTATAATCAATATGAGGGCAGTGTAGATCGAAATGATACCCTTATATCATGCTACAGTGCTTCAAGAAAATCTATGAAGTGGTATACGCTATGAAGTGGTATACAAAGGAAACGCACAACCACTAAAGCCGTCGCTCCTCCGCAGGGGCCAAGGCCGATTGCGTCGTCAGCGGGAGTCACAAGTCAAGCTTTCTTCTCCGTCTACTCCACGCCACTTCGACAAAGTCGGGCACCAGGTGGAGGTGGTTGTGTCAGAATATGAACTCTCCAACCAGTGGCAAGTGAAGTGAAACCCCGTGAATCAAAAAGTGCAATGATTTGGGCTCCAAAATGTCAAAATATAATTAAATATTTCAGCGGAGATGCCCCCCCCCCCCAGGAGCAAATTATACTGTAAAAGCCATTATTCTAACGACCAGCATATAATATTAATGATTTCCAGTAATTGTTGTTTAACGGGTACCAAAGGTAACGATTCTCGCTCATTCTCAACGCCCAATGGCAACAGTATGTATCGATTTCTGTTTAACGATTGCTATTTTGACGACAGATTTCTCCTCGTTAACTCGTTAGGATTAGCTCTTTATATAAAGCTTTCACAGTACTCGAGATGGCTGCCCGTATCACCCCAACATTCCTTCCGACATCCCAGAA